CAATTACAGTGATTTCAGTTCTGTAAGCAAACCGATTTCCTTGGGAACAGGGCCAGACAAGGCATTGATCCCAAAAGTCCTAATGTGAGAAACAGTTGAGCATGTCGTGAGAGACAAGAAATTGTACTTGAGAGAAAAAAAGAAGAAAGTATCAATCAAGAGCCTTACATCCATTCCATTCGAACCAAATTTCCAATTTCAGGAGGCAGAGAACCTGTAAGATAATTCTGAGCCAGGTTCCTGAAAGAAAGAAGATGTATGTGATTTTGTTTTGTAAGAAAAAGAAAAAGAAAAAAGAAAAGTGGTTGTGTAATAATAATCCATACAGATTCGTGAGGTATATGAAACTCCATAGCTGTGGAGGTATAGGTCCAACAACATCTACCGCATAAACCTTGCTGTGAAAACAAAATTAAGCTACAAGGTTCAGTGGGAGAAATCGTCGAACACATGGTGTGCAAAAAAAAAAAGAGAGGAAGGTTTTACAGGGCGGTGATGCGGCAAGTAGAGTTGGGGAAATCGCATCGGCATTTGATAAGAGGATTGTAGGGTTTGTCGTCGATGGTGATGCCTTCGTCGATGGCGGCGCCGGAGCAAAGTTCGCCGCTGATGTTCCATTCCTTGGGTGCAGGGATCTTCCAAGCCGCGAAGATGGAATTCAAAGATCGAGCTGGTTTATTATAACGGTAACCAGAGTGAGATAGATTGGTTTGATGTTAAACCATTATTAAATCATGTAAACCGGAATACTCTCGGAATATAAGAGGATCTCTAGATTCAGTTATGTAACAATTAATAAACTTCGTTAAGAAAAATGAACTTGTCCAAAAAAACTTGTTCTTCTTCTTTGATTGATCTTGTTTGTTCTCTAACACCAAACACATAATTAATTAATTAAATGTTTCAAATTAAGAAAGACAAACCTTCTTCAGGATCAGTTCGGTTTTGAGCTCGAACCAGATGAACCGAACAGGAGAGGAAGAGCCAGACGGTGAGGAGAAGAAGACAAGTGGACATTGTCGACGGATGGTTTTACTTTTGTTTGGTTCACAAAACCCAAACAACGTTAGTGTTTATCTAAAAGCT